AAAAAAAAAAAAAAAACATAGTGAACTATTTATTTATTTATTTATTTATTTATTATTATTATTATTTATCCTCGGCACGAGCTGTTTGGTTGGACAGTTGCGATGTCTTGTCTCTTTTTTAATTTTTTTTTTATTTTTATTTGTGTTGGAATTATTGTTTTTGCTGTAAATTTAATTTAAATTTATATTATGCATAAAAATAAAAATAATAAAAAAGGTAAATATTGGGCTTTAAATATTGGAACTCAATTATTAGGTTATTGCCCACTTCCAAATTAAAATCTGTGTAGTAAATAGCAGACTGAGCTTTCAATGAAAAATTCAAAACTCTCACCTGAACACCAAATTGTAATTTTTTTTATTTATTTTCTCAATTAAAAAAAATTATTTAAAAATTTTATAATCTCACAATCCATGACTAAAATTGTAATAATGTATTTAAATTTGATGGTGACCTCCATAAATTTAAATTTAAAATATAGACGCTTAATTTTAAATGCAATAGTTTCTCCCACGAGTGGTAGTTATGAGAGTTTGTCCATTAAATTTGAATTAAATATTGTCCATAAAACACGACATAAATTTTTTAAATAAAATTTATTTTATTTTATATTCCATTTTCCTCTTTCAGTAAATTCAAATCGGCACCTTTTATAAAGCATCTTCGAAATTTCTATTTCTCAATAATTCAACCAAACCCAATTTAGAATTTTTTTATAAAAAGAAAATTAGATTTAAATAACACACTAATTACGACATTACCCAATTAAAAGAGTTAATGAGTTCAACACCTAATAAAGTGAAGCCTTCAACCCCTAATTAAGAAGATTTTAAATTAAATACCTACTCATATTATTATTATTTTATTTATTTAATATGAAAATAACATCATTTTTAATTTTATACTAAGAATGAAGATAAATTAAATCAACCATAAATATTGAGTGATAAATAAATAATTTATGTTTTTTTTTTTTTAAATATATGATATGGCCAAACCAGGATTCCAAATTCCTTCAAAGATTAATTAAGATACCAAATCCATCTGACTTTAGTCTTAAATTGGGTGATTAAGTATGATTAAGTCAAAGTTTAGGGTAAGAAAAAACTAAGCTAAGAAGGGTCCATTATAATAAATTAACTATAAAGTGTTATTACTTGAAAATAAAATCTATAAAATGGGTTTTGAATTTACTATAAAGTTTAAAAAATGATATTTCAACCCAAAAATGGGAAACCTATTAATTAATAGAAGTATTTACAAGGGGAGACATTATTAATTAATTATGATTATGAAATTAATCGCTGAATTGCTACTTTATATTGTACGACGTGGAAGCAAAAATCTTGGTAGGCTACGTGTCTCAATCTTACCCTTACAAATCTTGCATTTTCTTTGTGGGTCCCATGTATTAATTACCAAAATAAAAAAATAAAAAAAAAATCATCTATTCTATTAATTAGTTTATAAAAATTTAATGCAAATTAATAAAAATTTGAGATAAATTATTTGATCATGGAATTAATTCAATGAATTTAACCCGTCAGTTTCTATATTCCATTCTAATAGAAATTTAGTCATATATATATATATATCAAATATAAATTCACACGGTTGACATTATTATTAATTCAAGTTTGATTATTTAAAAACATGTTTCAAAGATTTTAAAATTATTTTTTAAACAACAAAAAAAAAAAAAAAAAAAAAAAAAAAATTTTTTAAAAAAAAAAAAAAAAAAAAAAAAAAAAAGAGTTCCAATTGTTTTGGAATTTAATATAAAGATATATATTTTAATATTTTTTAAATCCATAAGATTTTGGGTATGTTTAGAATCTATAGTTTTTATTTTTATTTTTTATAATAATTATTGTTTTTTTAATTTAAAAAATAGTTATTTCAAACTCACTATTTATCCATAAACCCCACGTTTCAATAACATTGGTGTTAAATGTTGGCATTAATAATTATGGTCCAAATAATAATTAGGTTAACTAAGACCCATGTCAGGATATATAATAGAGATTACTTAGCTTAATTAATTGAATTATGTCACTAACATAAACATATAGCTCTGCATTAATTATATAGTATGTCATACCTAATATACGTCTCAATCTCTCATATGTTAGAAGATTAAAATATGAGAGAGAAATTGGCAAATCTATTGGATAAGATCACGAGAAGATTTCAAATCTACGATTATTAGATAACGACCCCATCGAAATGTAGTTATTATTAGACGTGGCTTCGAAATTTTACATACCTCTAGATACAAATTTGAGATACTCTTTTAATAGATCTAACGATGCAAAATTGTTAATCACACCACATTGTAGCAACTTTCTCGAGTAATTTCGGTAACTTCACATGGTTTTCTGGAAAGATGAAAAGAATATATGCCTTATTTCAACACAATTAGGTAAGAATCTCAGAATTAAGGAAAGGAACATAGTGTCTCAATCCCACAAATGGTGAAGGTCACTACTATTAGGGATAACATACAAGAAGAAGCTGGAAGAGTATCTCAAATTTATATCATTAAAATGATTATTAGGGACATGCAAGTTTTTTGGAATAGAACATACGATAGTTATTAAAAGACATCCACATTATTGTTCGGGTCGTTCGGGTCGTTCGGGGGGACGCGGTAAGAGTTGTATTGAATAATTTTTCCCTTTTTTCTCTCTCCTCCTTTATGTGTCTCCAAGTTGGTGAAGACATAGGCAAGTTTGCGTATGAAATTTTGTGCCAGCTTCATGACAAGTACTAACATTTATGTCTCTACAGACATACATATATACATATATACATATATATATACATACACACATATATATATATATACATACGTATATATAGCTGTCTCTCTCTCTCTACAAAATAACACTTTTCAACTCTGCTGACTCTCACCCTGAGCTGTAGCCCTAAATTTTCAACTGCCCTAAGCTCTCTCTCTCTCTCTCACTATTTGTAGTTCATTTCCCACTCTTACTTCCATCTTTCCATATTCTTCACAAATCTCATCTCTTTGTCTTTGTTATCTGATCGGAAAAGGTCATCTCCGGTCACCGGGGAATATGGAATGGGCCACCGGAAGTTTCAGACCCTTTCTTTCTCGGCCACCGGAATCTTCCTTTGGGTTTCTCTATAACTATAATCTTGAACAATATCAGGGTAATATTTCCACTTCATTTTAGGGTTCTTCAGTTTTTTTTTTTTTTGCAACAAGATTCGATTTTTGTTGTTTTGATTTGTAAAAAAACATACCCAGATCATAAAAATCAAATCTTTGCAGTTATTTAGGGTTTTTGATGACCATTTTCAAAAAAAGTTGCTGTCTTTGAACTAAAACTGTCATTAAACACACAGAAAGTGGAAGATCGTGAACAATTTGTGTTTTTTGAAGCATTTCATGTTTTGAAAATTGATTATCTTGCAGATCCATGCAGAATAGAGGGAAGAATGAAGAATGGGACGATTATCTCTTAGATCGTCTAAGATTAAAACAAAATTAAAATTGAAAATTTGTAGATATAGAAAGTTTGGTTTCTAAGAGAATTTCTATAATTTTCTTTCTGTGTGTTGCTTCCATGAGCAGGCATCGATGTGAAGCATTCGGCCATGGCGGGGACGTCTGAGACCGTGCTCCAAGGGCTTGTTCCAGGGATGGATATGAACAGCTATGGAAATTTGGATAAGAAGAAGCGGCTGAGCAGTGAGCAGCTCGAGTCACTCGAACGTAGCTTCCAGGAGGAGATCAAGCTCGATCCCAATCGGAAGCAGAAGCTTTCGAAGGAGCTCGGTCTGCAGCCGCGCCAGATCGCCGTTTGGTTTCAGAACCGCCGTGCGAGGTGGAAGGCGAAGCAGCTCGAGCATCTCTACGATACTCTCAAACAAGAGTTCGATGCCATTTCTAGAGAGAAACACAAGCTTCAAGAGGAGGTAATCTTTCCTTTGTTTAAGTTAGGGTAAATTGTGACAAATCTTGTGAAGATCTCAATTGAGGCTTTCATTTGTGGATTAGGGTTTACTTAAAAACTTTTATTTAATTGTATCAATTTTAACCCTAAACGGAAACACGCTCGCAGGTAATAAAGCTGAGGAGTATGCTGAGAGAGCTTC